TGCGTAGGAATACAGTGATTGAATCTAGAGTATTAGAATCGTAATACACGCGGAAGCGGGTTATGATTAATTTAGCATCGCAGGTTAATAATCCGGGTTAATTGCTTGCATAATTGAAGGAATTGGGGGAGTAATAATCACATAGGGGGAAGAATAAAATCCTAGGCTTGTTTACTGTTGGTCGCCCACCTACACGCAAGTGCACGTATCGTACAAGTAATATAGTGGACAATTAAGTCCGGATATCGAACCCACAGGGGAATATTTAACTATCTAATCCTAGACGCTAAATTCTACCGAATTATTATCAAGCCCACCCTACACAGTCGACTTTAAAGAGAATTAACTAAAATAAATTAAAAAGCAAATTAAAACGACAAAGCAAGAAAGCAAATTAAACACGAAGATTTATCAGAGTAAACGAGCCTAGGATGATTTTATTCTTCCCCCTATGTGATTATTATTCCCCCAATTCCTTCAATTATGCAAGCAATTAACCCGGATTATTAACCTGAGATGCTAAAATAATCATAACCCGCTTCCGCGTGTATTACGATTCTAATACTCTAGATTCAATTACTATATTCCTATGCAATTAATTCTAGAACACAGCATTAAGCACAAATCTCAATAATGGCTACCTAAGAGATTAACTATATTCCTATGTTAATACCACAAAGGCTCTTCTACCACAGTTCTAATTATTAACCCGATCTTCCGATTCATGCGATTAACAATAACATAAAAGCGCATAAAGTGGCCAGTTTCATGAACTTAATAAAACAAGTAGAAGAAATAATCCGGAATTAAAACTTGCATAAAATCATAGAATTGGGTTCATAAATCCCACATAGGGTTCCAAATAAAATCCTAGAAATAAGAAATTTAGCTACTCGTAGTTCTTATGATAAAGAAAATAAAATAAATAAATTAAATAAGAAAAACTATGCTTGAATCTTCGTTGATCTTCCTTGCTCTTGAATTTGCGTCCAAAAAGTTGGATCCCCAATTGTGTGCTTGACTAGGTCTTATATAGGGTGAAGAACTTGGGGAAGAAGGCAGTTTCCTTGTGCAATTAAAATTCCTTTACTGCGCAACTTCGGATTCTCGGACGGGGGTCCCATGATTTGCACTAAAACTGGGAAGGGGGTCTCAGCATTAAATCTTCAGAATTTTGATATTTTCACTTTTGACCCATATTTTCACCAAAATTGCAGTTTTGACCCCATACTTTTCCAATTCTTCAATTTGTACCTACAATACAATAAATCAACTTTTTAAGCACCAATTATCATTAAAACACACCAAAAGCTCAAATAAAAAGATACGATAAAGTGTAAAAATATACACTTAACATTTACTCTGATAAATCTTCGTGTTTAATTTGCTTTCTTGCTTTGTCTTTTTTATTTGCTTTAATTTAGTTAATTCTCTCTAAAGTTGACTGTGTAGGGTGGACTTGATAATAATTGGTAGAATTTAGCATCTAGGATTAGATAATTAAATATTCTCTATGGGATCGATATCCGGACTTAATTGTCCACTTTATTACTTGTACGATACGTGCACTTGCGTGTAGGGATTACAACCAACAAGTTTTTGGCGCCGTTGCCGGGGAATATTTTAATTATTTATTTTATTCTAGCTCTAAATTTGAACAATTTTCACGATTCACCCAAATATGTATGATTATTTTGAGAATTTATATTTTTTATAACTATTTTGAAATGAAAGTTAAATGGTGGATTGATTTATAGAAAAACTTGTCTAGCTCAAATTCACCAAATAATGGCGGACTACATGTATCCATTGGCAGTACTCCACCTGGGAATGGGGGTGGGGGGCTGGGAATGGGGGTGGGGGGCATTGTCCCCTCACAAAAAAGAAGAAAAGAACAAAGAAAAAACAAAACTTTTTAATAAGGTTTTTTCATTGGGGTCTTAAGATATAAGTCCCTGGTGACAAACCGTATTAGAACTAAATGACAAGTCTAATTAAAATTTGTTTCACATCCTTTCTTAAATTTATTCAAAAAATGCCCCTTTACTCACAAATTTAAAATTACAGCAAATTATAAATATACTATGATTAACTATGATATTATTTAACATTTTTAAGTTTGCATCTACCATTTTTTTTTTATTTTTCGTGGAACACGTTTTTTTTTCATATTTTTTTATTATATAAAAATCTATTTTTCCCCTTTTCTACATAAAATAAAAATTATGGTTTCTTTTTTCTTTTTTTTTTTTGCTTTTTTATTTTCATTTTTCGTATTTTTTCATTATATAAAATCTATTTTTCCCCCTTCTTTTCTAGATAAATTGAAAATTATGATTTTTTTTAATTTTTTTTAACCGTAGACATCTACAGAAACCCGTAGAAACCGTAGTAATCCATAGTAACCGTAAACATCTTGAAACCCTAACTCCTTTCAACCCTAGCCGTCAGACACCCATAGACGCTCATAAACATCTGTAGACATCTAAATCGAAAAATCTTAATTTTTTCCCACCAAACCCTAAATCCGATCCGCCGCCACCACCACCACCGCCACTACTCCCCCTCTCCATTCCCCCACACTCAGATCCATCTTCACGATTAATCTCTATTGGTTGCAAGCAAACAACGAGCCTGCCATCACAGAGCCTCCAGATGCAACCCCTACACCAAGCGTCGCCATAGCCGTCGTCACCTATCATAACCGCCGCCATCATAGCCGCCGCCATCTACAATAACCACCATCATAGCCTTCATCATTGCACTATAATTGAAAAGAGAAAACATGGGGGGGGGGGGGGGGGGGACTTTTTTGAAAAAAAAATCCCCCCAAAGAGAGAGAGAACCCCAACCCAAAGATGAACCTTTTGGGCGGCTTTTTCGGCATTAAAAAAAAAATGGGGAAAAAAGAGCCAGGGAGAGAAATAAATTAGAAAAAAAAGAGGCCCCCGCCTTTTTTTAAGGATTTGAAGGGGATTTTTGGGGATAAATAAAAATCAAAGGATGTGTATCAATTTTTATTTTAAAATAGGGATGTAGTTAAAATATTTTATTTGAGTTTGTCACTCATATCTAATTAAGTTTGGTTTGAGGGGTGTGAAGCATATTACCCCTTTTTAATTTATGTTTTTGTAATTCTTATCTTATGCATTGGCCTGGCCCTCCTATAATATACATTTTTTTATTTTCGAATTTAATTATCCGGTAAAATTAATTTTATGAAATCTTTCTATTATAAATTAAAATGTCTAATGTTTACAAATAGCCCACGATTAAAAAAAAAGTGAAAATTTGACTTTTATTAAGTTAGATTATTTTCACTATTTTATATTCTCTGTTTACCAATTTTTTATCTAATTCAAAAAATTATTTTTGCATCAATCTTACGTGTTCGCCTAATCTACTCAGATTAGAGGTGAGCAAGTCACATCCAACAACTTGTTGAATCCGTCAAATCCGTGAAAAACTATCCCGCTAGATTAGATGGATAATCCATCAAAAGGATTTGGTCCTGAAATGGAGAAGATTCGCAAATTTTAGTCTAAAATGGGTTCAAATTTTGGTACTATAAATTAATAATATATAATGCATAAATAAAGTATCTCTTACATGTCAGTACTTATATAACGCCGTCGTCTTATTTTGTCAATAGTTATCTATTTCATTTTAAATTTTATCTTATAAAGTTTTGAAGTTAGGTATTTTTTATAAATGAATTTGTGGTTAAAACATATTAATTTTGATTCACACTTGATATTTATCATTGATGTTATTTACGTTGGTTCTAAAAGAAACGTGAAAGCCTGCAAACAAGCATAATCAAAATCAAAGACGGCTTCCTTCTCAAGCAAATGACATAATGGTTTCACAATTTTCGAAAAATCTTTAATGAATCTACGATAAAACCCAGCATGCCCTAAAAAACTCCTAACCCCCTTGACATCTTTTGGTGGAGGCAATTTTTTCAATAGTTTCGATTTTTTCCCGATTCACCTCAAGACCTTTTTTGGAGACCTTCTGACCTAGAACAATACCTTCACAAACCATAAAATGACATTTTTCCCAATTTAAAACTGTTTTGTACATCTTTTCAAAACAAGTTCTAGGTTATGCACATAATGATCGAAAGACGATACAAACACAAAAAAAAAATATCCATAAACACCTCAAGAAAGTCTTCTACCATATCATGAAAAATAGACATCATACATCGTTGCAAGGTAGCAGGCGTATTACACAAACCAAAAGGCATCCTACGAAAGGCAAAAGTGCCGTAGGGGCAATATAAGTAGTTTTCTCTTGGTCTTTTGAGGCGATTGAGATTTGATTGTACCCTGAATAACCATCTAGAAAACAGTAATACTCGAATCCTCCTAACCTGTCCAGCATTTGATCGATAAAGGGGATGGGGAAATGGTCATTTTCTAGTGGCTACATTCAATAATCGGTAATCAAAACACACACGCCACCCAGTGACTGTCCTAGACGGAATAAGTTCATTTTTATCGTTCACAATAACCGTCATCCCACCCCTCCTTGGCACAACCTGTACCGAGCTGACCCACGCACTATCATAAATTGCATATATCATATCGACGCGTAACAGTTTTAAGACTTCATTTTTGACTACCTCTTTCATTGACGTATTTAACCGCCTCTGAGGTTGGACTCTGGGTTTACAGGCGTCTTCCACTAGAATTTTGTGCTGGACAATAGACGGGCTTTTTCTTAATATCCTCAATAGACTAACCTATAGCCGACATATATGTTCTCTAAGGACCTTCAACAGTGTTTTTGTTTCAGCCACGCTCAACAAAGATAATCCGGTAATTGTTTCAATTCTAGTAAGGGGGCCGTTTTCACACTAACTGGGTATCTCATGAATGACTCCTACCTCGTCTATGCCCAAAATATCGGCACACTCAAGAAACAATACACAATCAAGCACATCATTTTCAATTCGGGTTCAAGGGGAAGCATAATGCAAATCAATAGAGTTGTCAATTACCAGAATCACATAATTCATGCAAATCAGAAATGGAGGAAACACAGTCCTCGATTAAGTCTATTCTACTGTAATAATCAACATGTTTAGAGTGTTTGAATGCATTCATCAAATTAAAAACAACTTTGTCCCCATTTACCCTAAGTTTCAAAGATCCTAAGTCCATATCAATCAACGCCTTACCAGTGGCTAAGAATTGACGACCTAGGATGATTGGTGCTTCATCATCTTCAGGCATTTCAAGTACCACAAAATCAACAGGTAAAATAAATTTGTCTACTTTAACTAGCACATCTTCTACAATCCCATCACGGTATTTCAATGAACGATCAGCTAATTGTAAAGTCATGCGCGTACGGTTCAAATTTCTTAAGCCTAGTTTTAGAAACACATACATATGCATCAAATTAATACTTGCCCCCAAATCACATAAAGCTTCATCAAAAGTAGAATTTCCAATAATACAAGGAATAGTGTAACTCCCTGGATCTTTCATTTTCCATGGTAAATTCGCCTGGAGAATGGCACTGCAAGTTGCCGTGAGTATCATTGGCGTGTCTTCTTCGATTCGTGCTTTCTTGGATAGTACATCTTTCATGAACTTGGTGTAGTTTGGCATTACCTCCAAAGCTTCTGCAAAAGGTATATTGATTCGAATCTTCTTGATTCTTCCACGAACTTCTTAAATTGATCCTTGAGCTTCTTCTTTTTCAATCTCTCTGGAAAAGGAATAGGATTTATTAAAGGAGGAGGATTATCAGGGAAAGAAATATTATTGGGCTTAGTAGCCTCTTTTTTACTACTCCCTTAAATGGTGATTTCCGACTCGACCGGAATCGGATTTTTGGCTGGCTTTGGTGACTTGTCTGTCGGATAAGGAGGATCGGTCATTTGTAAACCACTTCGGGCGGTTATGGCTTGGCAACTTTCTTTTGGATTGACTTCGGTATTGCTCATAAATCCTTCATTTGTCATCGTGGACATAGATTGGGCGATTTGCCTTAGTTGCTTTTCCATATTCTTCATTGTTGACTTCAGGCCCTCAATCTTCTGTTCTTGTCGGTGAAAACGTTCGTCATAAGTCGACCCTCGTTGTTCTCTTTGATGGTTAAAATAGGAAGGTGGTTGGAGAGCATTCTTTGGATTGGTGTAGGAGAAGTTCTCGTGATTCCGAATCCCCGGGTAGTAGTGAGTAGGGTTCTGATTCTGATTGTTGTTTCGCCGGAAATTGTTAAATCGGTTGTTCATATAGTGTGCCCGCTCGTGTAGCACCCCTTCTAATCAGGCGATAAATCGAACCGGTTTATCGGAATAATTATTTAGATAGCAGAATATGACTAAAATGTAATTATTAAAAATCTCTTCCTTAGGATATTTGAAACCCTTGTCAATTTCGAAAACTTTCTTAGGGTACTTTAGTCGTCTAAATGTTTTGTTTGAAAAAAAATTTCGAAAGGAGGATTTTGTTCGAGTGCTACATTATCTAACTATATATTTCATTTTTGGTTCGAAAAGAAATAAGAGTTTTGGAAAAAACATTTGGCGAGTAAAGATTTTGGGCAGGAATAATAATTACTAGAATAAATGGACCAATTATATTAAGGTTTCAAAATAAGGCCCGTACCGAAATAAGAGTTCATTTCCCCTAACGAGGAAATACGAGAGTTTAGAAAAAAAATAGAAATAAGGAAATTGTCTTTAGTTTACATCACCAAAATGACACTAGCATAATTTATAGACCCCTCGTACAATCGTCAAAAGCTCCGGACAAGACTTCGATCCACTACTCGGTCCATTCCGGCGAGGGATTACTACTACCTGCAATTAAAAAGTATCTATATGAGCTATTAAGCCCAATAAGAAATCCGAATAAATAACAAGGATTTAAAATAGGTTTTACGTATTTATATACATAGGCATCACACCTTACCATTCGTCAGCAAAAGAACACACATAAACACTCAATTAAATTAAACACGTAAATTGACTCAACTAACAAAAATTACCAAATTACCCTTTCGTGCAAATGCGTGAATGAAAACATTTTCTATTGTTCGGATCCGTGAAAAATTAACTTCTTTACTTGGATGATAAGCATATTATTCTTAGCCCGTTCTTTTGGTGGAATCAAACCACCCCTTTTTCTATAGTAACTATGATTGGCCCGCCGTATCCCGACTCATTCTACCCAAGCATTACATTAATCTTTCCTTTCTTTAAAATGAAATCATTTTATGCATGACCATATATATACACATTTATGTGCAATAAAGCATAGCTCATAAATATAAAATCACAAAATCATTGTAGAATCATACCTTAGATATATATTTTATCATAAATCACACATACTATCACACATCACAGTAAACACACACACACACACACACACACACACACACACACACACACACACACACACACACACACACACACACACACACACACACAAAAGTCATGCAGCCCCAAACGACAATTAAGAAGAGCATTTAACCACTAAACCATGCCCTTAAAGTACTAACATCTTTATCCCTTCATTAATGGGATTTCTTTCACTTTTATTCATTAAATATTTTGAAAAAATCTTACAGTCCCTTAACAGAGATCAGATGGGGAGTTTTAAGCAATAAATCCATATTCCCACAATTAATATGTTAAGAAGCACAATAATTAAAGCACAAATGTTTCATTTCTGGCACATGCACAACAAATATTTCGAAATAATAGTAAATGAACTTCAAAAAAATCCCAAATTTAATTATAGGACTATTATCTGACTAAATATTCAGATTCAAAAAGAATTTTGCAGTTTCATCAAAAATCAAAATTTTGAAAATTAAAATACTAAGAAAGTGGTCTTTTAGCCAAAAATTGATTTTCTACCGAATACTAATTCCAAACTATGACTAAATGAAAAATAACCAAAATTCCACTTGATACCTACTGAAATTTTAAGATTCAAACATTTTTCAAACTGAAAATTTTCTAGAAATTGCAGATTAGCCCTTAAAATTCATAGATCTACACATGCAACCCCAAAAATCTTAAAAACTCACTTTCTTTTGGTAGAGTTCCCAAAAGTATGAAATATTTAAATCTCTAACCACAAAATACTTAGATTCACAAATTATAGAATGGATTAGACATGCAAGAACATAAATTGCTAGCACATGATTTCGGTTTTTACACAAAAAGCCCTAATTTTCGAAAAGTGGAGCAATCTTTTAGAAAAAAATGAAAACTCCTTTCCATACTATGATAGTCTTCAATTGCAGCAAGAAATTCAAGATTTCTTACCTAATACGGAAAATAAAGGGGTGTTTGGCCGAAAGAAAAACCTTCAAAAGAAAAGAGGGCTTTTAGAGGAAGAAGAAGGGAAAAATGAAGACTCTTCTAAACACAATGTTACCTCATGTAAGAGGTTGCTCCAAAATCGGACCAAGCTAGTTGAATGGAGAAGGTGAGAGCTTTGATATGAAGTTGGGAGGAATTTTGATCTCCTGTAAGAGGTCAAGTGTTTTTGATGGTGTTTTTAGCATATTCAAGATTGAAGCTTATATAGGGGGTTTGCATCTTGAATTCGTAGTTTTTTTTTCTTGAAGAAAGATGAGGTGGTGGCCGATGGAGGTGGTGGTGCTTCGGTGGTGATGGTGAAGAAAATCCAAGTGTGCAGTGAGGTGGAGAGAGAAGAGAGTGGAAAGGGTGTCTTTTGATCTTACTAATTGAAATTGAGTGTTGGATTAGTGTAAATCATTATACTCTGGATTTCCTTGATCGTCGGCCATTGGTTCACTTTGTTGGCTGCGCGTGGCTCTTCGTCTTCGAAATAACCTTTCAATCACGGAATCGTAAGGTATGAATTCCAAATTTCGAAACCTGGACATAAACAAAGTGATCGATTGAAATCAAATAAAAAATAAAAAATAAAGCAGGTAAATGGCTAAAGTAATAATCAGATAATTGGTAACAATATCAACAAAGATATAATCAAATTGGTCCCCGGTGTTAGAGTAGGTGACCAACAAGCCAACTTGTGGCTGTGGTCTTTCCATTTATTATTGTAATAAACAAACCTTTTTCGTATTAATGATAAAACACCTTGGCATTCTATATCTTTGTTACTTTGTCACAAGCATAGATATAGTCCTTACAGTTATTACAAGTACTAGTAATTGATCGTTAGGATCGTGAGATATTCACTTAAGTATTATAACTGTTAAACGTGTTCCTAGTCGAAGGGTTACGCCACCAATGAGGATATCGGCCTTTCCCATTAAGAGACTAGAACTTAGTGTATGTGTACTGCATCTCATCAGTAAACAGTATTGTGATATCGGCATGCATAAGTGGGTGCTCGTATGTTGACGAGTTCACTGAACTCCCTCACCCTAGAAATCTCTAAGTCGTTCTCAATAATCGAGTAGAGATATCTATGGTATAGTTGTACACCATTAGTCCTTATGACCTAGACATCACCGTGACTTCACAAGAGGACCAGCTGTATCGTGACCTGTCCTTGAGTTCCACCGAGGACCATCCCAAGGGCCAGTGTTCGTGCAGTCCGAAATCTATTGGGAGGTCTCTGCATTATAGTCGGGGATTCGATCGCTATAATAGTCTTGGATGTCCTGTGTGTTCTCATAGTATGTAATCTCTAAGTCTCTGGCCAGAGATGACTAAGTGATGATTAGAGAATTCGATTCTCTAAGCCATGCACATAACGATTACAACACTTAGAACGATCGCACAATCATTGAACTACTAAGGAGGTCTCGATGAACCAATGCCTCTAGTTCAATCGGGACATATGAATCGAAAGGATAGTACTGTACGCTAACTATATCAAAAGGTTCTTGCAGGCACTTCATTTGTATCTAGGGAATCATGACGCGTAGTTGCTAGACGCCAATCTTGATTCGTTGGGTGATTAAGGTGAAACGAGCTTCATCTTAATCGTAACTCTAAGGGACGAGTTTTGACCACAAAGGGTTGTGGGCCCACGACTATCTTACACCTGAACCATCGAGGGTCACACTGCTCGTGCACATGAGATCTTTGAATAAACGGTCAGAGATAAAATTAGTTTATCTTTGCATGATTGGAAGTCAATATGATTGGGTCCAACATTCGTAATTTGGAATTATGAATGAGAATAAGAAAAGGAAAAGAATAGGCGAACATCTTAGTGGACATTCTAAATCGGGAAGTTTCCAAATTTAGAAAGTGCACTGAATTAGGGTTTCCACTTTTGGAAAGTTGGAAATTGAGAGTTGGCACTCGTAATGATGAGGACATTACAATGATTCCGAAAATGTAATCGTTACAATTTTCCGATCATTGAATTGAGAGAAACGAGCGAATAAAAGACTAACGAACTTAAGTTGTTGGGCCCGGTCCAACTTAAGCCCGTTAGGGCTTTTATGCAAGACACTATAAATACTTGATTTATAGGTCTTGCACAAACAACACACACGAAACCCTAACCCTAGCCGCTCCCTCTCTCGGCCATTCCCCCCCCCCCTCCCCCCCCCCGCCGCTCGTTCGCCGGAATCGGCCTCCTATTGGCCGATCAATCGTGGTAGATCTTTTTCATTTTTCTTCTTTCCGTTTATTTTAACT